AGGGAGCTGGGCCCAGAAAGGCTTTCTGTTCCCCCTCAGGGCTCTTCCTCTCATGCAACTGCCCGGCCCTTGGTAACTCAGCTGAGAGGAGGAGAGGAAGGCAGGCAGCTGTCTCCCCCACACACCCCGGACTGGTTATCTTGGCAGACAGCCGTTCCTCGTCGGCCCTGGGGCCCTCGGCACTTGTGGGCCGCCTGCCTCCCGGGGTTTTCTCCTCACCACGAGCAGCTGCGGCTCAAGAAGATAACCCCCTTTTTTTGTGCTGGAATAAAAACCTATTTATACTTTTTGTTTGTTTCCTCCTGTGCTCCGTCTCTCTCTTTCTCTCTTTCCGGTGTTGCCGTGGTGGAGCTACGGGGAAGGGGGTGGCTCTGCGAAAGGCCGGGATTCCCCACCCCACCACCCCAAAGGAAAGTCCTCCGTAGCTGCCGAGTGGGGCTTTGAGTGGGGCTGGCTGTGGAGCCGAAGGTCTGATGCTCCCTCTAAGCCGTGGACTCTTGTGGGCAAAAAATTCTGCTTTCTGAGCTCCTGGCATTAAAGTTGTGAGCCATGAGCGACTGGTCTCCTGCATGAATTCGCTTGCTCTGGAGCCACATCCTTCCTGAGCGAAGACAAAAATGTGTGAGCCGGAGGCTAAAAAACTGTGAGCTGGCTCACACTGACTCAGCTTAGAGGGAACTCTGTCTGAACTACTTTCTAAATAATAATAATAATAATTGAATTCCGTAGGAGAGCAACCCAAATTTTGTGCCGAGGAATGCCGTACTGAGCCGGACATGCTTCTGTTTGCGTATTGCGGCTTCTTCTGGTTATTGGAAGCAACTGGAAGGTGGACAGGATCCAAAAGCCCCCCCCCCCGCTCCATCTGTCTTCTGTTTACCTTGTGTACGCCTCACCTTTTTGCCCAGGTGGGACCCACGCTGGCTGACACCCTTCCCCTTCATCCACACAACAACCACTCCCCCCGGTGAGGGTCTGATTTAGTAGTGGGCATTTTCTTACTGAGAGGGACCGCGACCGCTTTGTAGAGCACCTACTTTGCATCCTCCGTTAAAGGATCTTCAGGTTAGCAGGACTGGGAAAGACTACTTTCATTTATTTATTTTCTTACATTTCTACCCTGCCCTCCCAGCCAAGGACGGTTCAGGGCGGCTTACATAAACTTTCTTCCCTCTGAAACCAAGGCCTGCCTCCTCCGTATTCCAGATGTACAAAGGAACGGGTGAATCCTGTTGCCAATCCAATCCAAAGCCTTTTATTGGCATATAAATAAAAATACAGTAATCTAAGTACACACAGAGTCAAATTAAAATTGACGAGTAACATCACAGAGTATCATCATAAAGAAAAACCTAATTCATATCATTCGTCAGGCCGTAGGGCCATGGCACTGCAGAGAAACTTTGCTGTTATTTCAGTTATTTCTGTGTCTGTTATCGAGCAAGAAAAGAAGCTTAAAATCATCCGGGGACTCTAAAAAATGGCCTAATATGGGATATAGAAGATCCCGACGGGACGCCAAATAGAGAGGGCACTGGAAGAGAACATGGGCAACAGTTTCAACACAATCCTTCCTACAAGGACAACACCTGCTAGGATAGGGAATCCCTTGGAATCTGCCAGATAAAATAGCTGAAGGAAGAACATTAAATCTAGCCAAGGATATGGCTCTACGCAAATTTGGAGCTACGAGTTGATAGAGGTATACTGCTGGAAGATTTGCATTAGGAATAATCCCCAGATGTAAGGGAGAACAGGTTCTGTTAGCCAGGCTATAAAGAGTTTGTAGCTCTGATCCCAATAATCTAGATTTTATTTTTAAAAAGGCCTCAGAATCAGAAAGCATATATAAAGATTCTAGGGACAAATTCAGGGAACTTATTTTGGCTTCGTAAGCCTGTTGCTTTAATCGGTAATCGCTAGACAGCAGCCTCTCTGGGGCAGGAGGACCCGTGGCACGATTCAACATCTCAAGTGTGTGTTCGTTCAGTGGGTTCCAGGTTCAGGCCTTTCCAAGAAAAGCAGTCCAGTCCTGTGTCAAGGTGGTCAGCTCTGGGTTAGGGGATGCCTGGGGATTTGGAGGGGAGAAATGGCTGTAGGTTCTACCTTCCAAAGCAGCCATTTTCTCCAGGGGTGCGATTTCTGTCATCTGGAGATCCGGCAAACCTCTTCCCTACCTTCTTGTTCAGTCGCACAGTCGAGTCCGACTCTTCGCGACCCCGTGGACCAGATCATGCCAGGCCTTCCGGTCTTCCGCCGTCCTCTGACGTTTGCTCTTCCCTACTGCTGGGGTGTTAAAAGAGTCTGCCCTGAGTCCCGAACATGGAGGGCTGTCGTTTTGGGGTCCAGACCAGTGTTCCCTCTAAGCCGAGTTAGCGTGAGCTCGCTCACAGTTTTCTAGCCTCTGGCTCACACATCTTTCTCTTTGCTCAGGAAGGATCCAGAGCAGACTAATTTATGCAGGAGCCCAATCGCTCGCTCACAGCTTGAATGCCAGGAGCTTGCAAAGTAGAATTTTTTGTTCACAAGACTCCACGGCTTAGAGGGAGCTTTGGACATGACCAGTGTTCCCTCTAAGCTGAGTTAGTGTGAGCTAGCTCACAGTTCTTTAGCCCCCGGCTCACGCATTTTTCTCTTCGCTCAGGAAGGGATGTGGCTCCAGAGCAAACTTAGTTATGCAGGAGCCCATTCGCTCGCTCACAACTTTCATGCCAGCGGCTCACAAAGTGGAATTTTTTGTTCACAGGACTCCACAGCTTAGAGGGAGCATCGGTCTGGACCCGTGTTTTATCTCCCTTTGAGGCAGGGCGAATACCAGGAGGGGAGCACCAACCCATGCTCAAAACCGAGAGCAGGAGAGTGGTGGGTTTTCCCCTGGACCCTTGGGGCCAGGCGTCGCTTAGCGACAGGGCCCCACTGTGACACGGTCCCGGTTCTGGCCAAGCATGGGGTGGGAAGGGCTCCCTGGAGAGGCCGGGGCGTGCCCGGGAGAGATGGCCACTGGCGGGTGAGCCGGCAGAGCTCTCCTTGGGTGGCGTCCCGGTCCCCAGCGGGGGTGGGGGTGGCCATGAGGGTCGCCTGCACGGCTCTGGTGTTCAGCCTGCTCCTGCTGCAGAAGGACCCCGGTGGCGACCTGCCCCTGCGCTACAGCCCCTGGGCCGGCCGGCTCTGTCGGGAGCACAGCGTCCTCCGGCGCTTGCCGGGCACCTTCCGCTGGCAGCCGGACGTCCGCTGGGTGGCCGAGTCCCCCTGGGCGTCCTGCCTGGTCGGGGTGGGCCTGGTGCTCCTCTCGGTCCTGCTGGAGAGCTGGGCCGCCTCCTGCCTCACCGCTCTGCAGACGCGGGCGCCTCGCTCACCGGCCTGCTCGGTAAGGAGCCAGTCCTTACCCACTGGGGAAGAAACAAGGGGATGGGCGTCTCTGTAAACGTGGCCTCCCTGCCCGCGGCCACTCCAGGAAGGACTTCAGACTGGTGCCCGAGCTGTGTTCCGTTTGGTGTGGACTGTAGTCTGTGAGAACCGGGTTTGATTCCCCACTCCCCCGCATGCAGCCAGCTGGGTGACCTTGGGTCAGTCACGAATTCTCTCAGAGCTGTTCTCTCAAGGGCAGTCCCCGGAAGAGCTCTCGCAGCCCCACCTACCTCACAGCGTGTCTGTTGTGGGCAGGGGGAGGGGAAAGGAGATTGTAAACCGCAGCTGCTTGTGTGACCTTGGGTCAGTTGCAAGTTCTTTCAGAGCTGTTCTCTCGAGCAGTCCTCAAAAGAGCTCTCTCAGCCCCACCTGCCTCACAGGCAGTGTTCCCTCTAAGCTGAGCTAGTGTGAGCCAGCTCACAGTTTTTCAGCCTCCGGCTCACACATTTTTGTCTCCGCTCAGGAAGGATGGCTCCAGAGCAAACTAAGTTATGCAGTAGCCGAATCGCTCGCTCACAACTTGAATGCCAGAAGCTCACAATGTAGAATTTTTGCTCACCAGACTCCACAGCTGAGAGCAGTGGTGGCGAACCTATGGGACGGGTGCCAGAGGTGGCACTCAGAGCCCTCTCTGTGGGCACGCGTGCCATCGCCCCAGCCAGGCCCAGACCCTCATTAAAGTGTCGAATTCTCTGCCAAATAATTTTAAGTCAATGAAAGCATTTGGGATTGCTTTCCTCACTTTGTTTGGATCATCTTAAGTTAATGTAGGAGTTGTTTTTTCTAAAGTAAAACCTCAGTATTCAGGTTAAATTGCCGTGTTGGCACTTTGCCATAAGTGTGTTTTTGGTTCGCAGTTTGGGCACTCTGTCTCTGAAAGGTTCCCCATCACTGGCTTAGAGGGAGCATTGCCCCCAGGTTGTCTGTTGTGGGGAGGGGGAGGGGAAGGAGATTGTCAGCCGCTCTGAGACTCCTTGGGGTAGTGAAGGGCCCTGGGGTATAAGTCCAATCACCGCCTCCTCTTCTTCATTGCAAGCAAACTGTTCAAGCCCTCGAGGGACAGCCGCAGGGCAACTGATGCCCCACGCTGGATTGCATCCTGAATCAGAATAGCCAGGATGGCCTTGGTGGGGGGTATACACGTGGGAGGGAAGGCAACAGGGTATAGCCAGGTTTTGGGAGATAAGCCCGCTTCCTACGTGGATGGGAGGCCGCCAAGGAAGGCTCCGCAGGGAAAGGCGATGGCCAACCACTTGCCCGGAAGGCCCCTTGCTTGGATTGCTGGGAGCTCCGCAGGGTCGGTCAGCAGTCAGCACTTGGCTGGGGGAGAGGGCCTGGCGTGGGGCCTCGGTGCTCCCCTCCCCTCCCTCAATGAGAGATCACCCCCCACACCCATGTCCTCCTTTCGCCCTTTGCAACGCTTCTGCTGACCTGTACCGAAAGCGGTGGGTGGGCAAACAGCTTCCCCGTAGGGTTCTCCTCCACTTCCCTGCGAGTGAGTCCCAGCAAGCGTTTGGGCCCTGCAGCTGTTTCCCTGGCAATGCCCACCACAGG